ATGAAAAGTGAAATATTCAGATGAATAGCTCAGAGCAGCTATAACAACAGCTGTTGCTATCCCACTTCAGTATATCTTACATAATAAGAGAAAATGCTGAATGGATGGAATTGTTGGATCTTAAAAAATTATGCTTACCTGTGCTTCCATGTCACATTAAGTGACCAGAAAACTAGAAACCCCTGTACAGTAATGCAAATGACAACAGACTTGTAATAAATCCTACCCTTGTGAAAAATACTTTTTTAGTTGTGGTCCTGTGTCTGAGAGGTGTTTATTCAACTTTATAGTCCTTTTGACACCGTAGTCCACGCAGTGCTCCGCCAGACTACATCATAAATTTACATATACAGCAGAGCAGCATTATTAATTATTGCAATATAATGTAGTTCAGTTCAGCAAAACCACAAACTACTGTGTCAGAAAGTACCATGAAACAAATATTCATTTGTTCAGTCATCGATCATTTTGAAGGTTACAGTATGGGTATGAGTAAGATTTCCTGGCAGTTTCAGACATCTGAATCATTGTCCACATGCTGAATTTTACAATGATTCTAATGACTTTGAATGGGGACAGCGTGCTCCTGTGCCAGAGGAAGAAAAATAGCTACATCCATGAAAAGCCAGACATATTGGCACAAAAATGGCAACAATGATGGATTAGATTGACGTAGCTGTACAGGTTGTACGGTCATTTTATATGAGCATAATAAATGATTTTATATGAGAAAAATTAGTGTTTTTCTTCAGTTGGCACGAACAATGTTAACTTCGCCTAGTAAACACTATTGCGGCTTCTGTGTCAACTCAAATAATATCAGATTGTTCTTGTTGGCTGGCCCTGTCTTCCAGGTGAGACATTCAGCAGATAAGAGGGATTTTATTTATTTATTTTTTTACCAGTACCAGAATCCTCTCATTTGGAGAGCAGTGTGAAGGATGTGTGGGAGAAGAATGTGAGTGTCAGCAGAATCAGCAGCAACTTGGCAGCCTAAAGGTGTTTTTGGATCAGCTCTGGCACTCTCTGGGGCTCCACCACCTGATTGATGGAGCTGTTTGTTCCTAATCACTTTAGAGATAAAGCAGGCTACCATGCAAGGAATGTTGAAAGTGGATCTAAGGACTTTGCAGCAACATGTGCAGGAGCTACACCAGAACTTCAGATTGTCTCGTTGCTTCAGAACTCATGCCGTTTGTCCCTGTGGCTTGCTTTTTATTAGGCAGTGGCTGTTGTTTTAGCCTGCCAGAAACTCCATTTGGGACCGTGTGATTGTTCAGCTTTGTGATCTTTTGGAGGTTTACAAAGCTGAGCAATCAGTATTATGTGGTGACTTACCTAATTCAGCAGTCATTTTTTGTGAAGCTGGTATCAGTTCAATTACAGTGTGTTGGTAAATCAATATGTGGAAGGATTGTCCACCCTGAAATGTTGTTTATGCAAACAATCCCTATTGAAATCGTAGGGGTGAGACTGAAAACAATGAGAGACGACGGAACAGACAAGGCAATGTATGATAAGAACACACTGGAGTTTGGTTTAAAATAAAGTGACAGAAAGTGATCATAAGGCAGGGGAAAGGTGAAAATGGGAAAATAAAAAAGGTAAAGGAATAGATGAAGCTAGATTACACTGTTCACCAGGGAGCAGCTCTGTGATTAAACCTCAGCAGATTTTTTTTATTTCTGTTCTCACATATCATCTTGAGAAAGAAGCCTTCGCTCTGCTACATCAATATCAGGATTAAACTCAGCCTGTCAGTAAAAGCCTCAGTAAGTGTGGTAGAGAAGCACAGACGGAAATGCAGGACATCCCCCCTCCCCCAGATTCCCTGCATTTTAAAATGGAGGAGATGCTGGAAAACAGTTGTGGTGCCAGTGGAGCAGCAGGTACCACTGTAGGCAGTATTACTGTGACTATCACCTTCACTGCACAGCCTCTTTTAAGAAACAAAGTGATGCTGAGATTTTACTTTGGTTCTGGCATTTTTCTCTTTCAGCAATGCCAGAATAAACAAGTGGAAATAGCACAACACAGGCTATGATGGATTACTGTATGAAGCGCACTACATCAGACTGTGCCCACTGCTGCTACTGTAAACGTGGTAATATATGGGCAGTAGCAGCTACCTTAAACTGTACCCTGCAAATGCATATAAGTCAGATTTACTTTACACAACACGTAATACAAACAAACATAAATATTTTTTGACATGCCAGTCCTCTTCGATGGGCAAACCATGTAATGACAACTCTATTTCTAAAGCACCTCAAGAATAAATTTTGCTTCTCTGTTCTGCAGTTTCAACATATGTGCTGATACCAATATAATTTTTTTTGCAGACCTTCACTCGTCTCCCTTGAAGAGCCTTGCCAGTATTTCTCCCATGTGAACTCGTGGCTGTGGCTCTCTGGACTGACAGTGTTCAATGAGTAGGGGAGATCAGCAGCAGTTTCGGTTGACCAATCATCAGCCAGACAGAAACGTGAATGATCTGAACTGATCTGAAATGTTTGTCCAGGCAAATCCTTCTCTTTATGATTTTGTTTTATATGATCTAACTGGACGAAGTAGTGATAATATACAGCAGGGGTCAGCAAATAAGTTTTGGGGGGGTAGCGCTCGTCTAATAAAGGCACGTGTTCACTGGCATAGACTTCACTCGGTAAAAAACTTGGTAGCCTATTACGTAACAAGTCACTTACACAGTGGATATTTTATAAGCACAGACCAGGTAAAGCAACAGTAAAATCTGAGTGAAGATATTGATTTCAGTTTTTTAATAAGCTATGTCATTAACGAGCCGGTATGCGGTTCACTTGCTGCCGTAATAATGGCAAAAAAGACGAGTTCTGTGTGAGTTCCGCCTCTCTCTGTGAGAGAGACAGAGAGAGGCGGGGCAAGCCAGTGTGTTTGTGGTAAGAGAGGACGATCACGATGCCCACTCAACATTGTGATGTCCGCCAGTCATGGACAATGGCATCTTCTATTGGCCCAACCCTATTGGCCAGTAAGGTAACTAATAACGGAGACATTTTAGAGGAGACATGCCACTCAATCACATCCTCAATACAACTCTATGGGGAAAGCCCGTAACAGCAAAGATGGCGGTTAAAACGCTTTTTAAACCTTATTTTGGGGCAAAGTCGTCAAACTGTTTCAGTGATTATTATCAGATTTTAATGCTGATTCTATTGATGTAGTTTTTATGGCCTGGTAACCTGTATATGTGCATTTATACAGGTCTCCCCATTCATTTAGATAGGAGCCTGGTCTTGTTAGTCCAAAATAGCTGCCTGGAGGCGTTGCCAAGATGACGGCCGAGTGGCATCACTTGCCTATAAGGACTTTGTGAACTTCTACTCGTTTCTCATTCTATTTGATAGATTTACTTATGATGTTGTTTATATAACATGCCTTTTCCTTGAACATTTTCCTTGTAGAGACAATGGTGGAACACTGTTGTGGTTCAATGGTTTGGCGCCGGAAAAAACTTCTTCCACTGAGATTGCTTGTCTCAAAAGCAGCCATGTCTCTAGCATAACAGGAACAGAAAGCCCTGAGGAGCGTCGATGGCACCTTGAGGATGAACAGGGACATAAACACTTGCATGACACATAAATAGCTTGAACATTGAAAAACAAACCATAATTGTGAAGGTGAGGATACAAACTTTTGGACCAAACATACTATCAATAGTGTAGCTCTCTGGGTGCTGGGTTATTCTTGTTATCAGGGTCAGTCTGGCATTGAATGAAGATAATCCCTGAACGCTTCACTGAATGAGAGTGGATTTTTATTTTCCTCCTGGAAGTCAGGTCACCATGGAAGGATTGTTTGTGGAATCAGAGCTACTCCAGATTAGGAGCTGAAAATGACTAAAATATAGTAGAACCTCATTGCAGCTTTGTAGTTTTCCATTTACCTGAGAGGGCTTTTTTTCTGGGAATCATATATTTGATTTCACCCTGTTTCCTGTAAATATTCACACTGTGACAGACCCCCACTGTACAGATCCCTTCATAAACACAGAAGAAGCTCCATCTAATATTTTATGTAGAGTGGTGATGAAGTGTTCACTGTGTGAGCTCAAAGGAAGCCCTGTACCTAAGTGTTTACCACTCTGAGCTTGGCCAGAATCAGACTCCTGCTGTTTGGATAACTTTGTTGATTTTTGTGCATTCAGCACATCTCAATGACCAAAATTTGTTCAGTTGCTTTAAAAAAAAAGTCTTCATTGGGGAATGGATTGTGGTCAGCATTTACAAGGAAGTGATACATCACTGGGGAAACATTTCAAGAGGAAAGCAAAACAGCTTTCATTTGAGCTGTCAATGTATACTGCTCTGTTTATTTCTGACCAATAAAATGCACCTTAAAGTCAGTGTATGTACAGCAATATGCCTGTACATAAGTATAGTAAGCATTCTCTTTCATGACAAATTTTCTCTTGTCCATTATTTTCACTTTCTGATATTTCATACACCCCCCAAGTTTGCTTGCTTTCTTGATACATCATCAGAAAATGAGGAGCTGTTTTTAATTTGTTTGCTTTTGTGGCAGTCTTGTGTTTATTTGTACTTGAGGTATTTGCTCAATGCAGTATCTCTGTTTATGATAACTCTTTCTCTTTGATTGGGCTTTATCAAGGATATCACATAATACACACAAAAATCTTTTCTAAGTGAGGTTTGGTAGACATGTTGCAGTCTATTACCCGCAGGTCTCATACAGGCTTTCCCTCAGGAAATTGGTTAGCAGAGGTGGTAAGTGGTGACAGCAACAACATCCTTTGATACAACATCTTTTAAACCAACTTCCCCTCGATGCAGGATCAACTGTTGACTGCAGTGCAGTGGTGAATTTTTTTCTCACACACTAGCATTGTTGAAACTTGTAAAAACTCTATAGCAAACGTTTTTCCCGACTTTGCATTGTGCTGGTCTGAATGACCACTGCGAAGCAAACATATAGTGTAATCAGTCACCTGCTAAGCTGAATCTGACCTATCCTGACACATCATTTACAAGCTTTACCAAGTTTTCCCCTTTGTTGTAGAAAGTTTTACAATTTTACAGGCATGCTACCCGAAATGTTGCCTACTGAAACCTGCTCATAGTAAACATATATCGGTCTCAAATCTTTAATATGCGTGGGTCCAGAGTACAAGTGCAGGTGCGCCAGAAATCTATTGCACCTAACATTTTGCAGGACAATTTTTGTGTGCGTGTGTTGTCCCCATAACTCACTCGTGGAAGAAGGTGAGAGCCAATCAAAAGCAGAGAAGGGGCGCTAGATTTAGACTGCATTGACTCAACGCTGATACCTGTGACTTTGGCAACGCAGGTATCCTCACATTAATACTTGTGAGTTGCTGTCTGTGTCTCTCTGCAATTACACTGCCAAAATGCTAGTTGGCGGTGGGGTTTATATGTTCCACTGTGTTGACTTCTGCTGGTGAACTGGCTAACTTCCGGTTCAGCCCTCCGATAATTTGAATGGGGGAGAGAGGCTCTTCTAGACTTTCCACATGTTCCACTTCATCTTCTGCCAGTACTCTCTGCCTCGCTTCCAACAGCTGGAAACACAAACAGAACAGCATTGCAGAATTGCATGCTCACAATGTAGGTTTTCATTGTCATTTTATAGTTGTAAAATGAAATGAAATTTGTAACTCACTTCTGCTACAAAGCAGACAACATGCAGTATACAAAAATAATCACAGAATGAAACAAAAATAAACTATAAACTATGTTTTACAGAGTAGTGCTGATGTAATTGAGTCAAGGTTCAAAAGTCTCACAACCTGGGGGAAAGAATACATCTCACTGAAAAATAAGTTCACATTGACAAACAATGAATCTAATCCAACAAATCTTACCCGCTTCCTTCTGGATCGACACTGGGCAGAACTCTTAAGGCTGTCGCCCTAGCAGCAAGATCTGGCTGACTGTACCGGATGTTCCTGTGTGCTGTCTCACAGTGGTCTCACTAGCAGCTGGAAAACAAAATTTAGTGTTATAAATAAATAGCATAGCCACAGTACAAAAAAAAAATAAAGAAATAAAACACCACAGTAAAAAGTTAGCTACTTACACACAATGGCATCATGATCCACACAATGTAAATCCGGAGACCAAAAAGGATGTGAGCACCTCGTTGTAAAGTGAGCACAGACTGTGAAAACAAAATTACGGTCTAGGACAATCAAAAAAATGATTTACTTTTATACAGTACAATGCATGCCTGTTCTGTAAATCTAACCCTTTCTCAGCATCATGGGGCTCGCAATTTCCCTCAGTTGTGCAGGAGACTGGCCATTTCCTGTGAAATAAGGCAAGATAAAATGTCACTTTTGTGAACTAACTTATACTGATTTTGGCTGGTTTTGGCATAGCAGTGACCAAGTCTCACCACAATTTTTAGATTGCTCACCCATCTTCTCTTCTTGTTCTTCCACACTGGAGCAGTTGTTGGATTTAAGAACAGCCACCCTATCCTCCCTGGCAACATTCTGGCGTTCAGTGCAAAGAACTGCTGACTTACATCGGCTTCTGCAAACAATTTTATAGGAGCTCAAATCCAGCGTTATGTAAAACAAGAGTTACAGCTTGCTCTAATTCCAGTGCGCAGGCTGCGCTCCAAGACGCACACACCTTGAACTCGGCACGTAACTTATATCTCCCCTCTAAATTAAACAGAAAATGAACTAAATTGTGTTTTTAAATGGTTCAGTTCACTTTCACTTTCTTGCTACCTGATATAAGAGCAGAGTACATGCTATTAACGATGTTCGACGGCGTTTCTAACACTTTTCCAGCGGACTTAGCATGCTAGCATAAGCATGCTAACATTAGCTTTCCATTTGAAGGCAAAACTGATTAAAAACTTAAGTTAGCGAACTCAAATCACAGCAGGACTCACACAGGACAAGTCGGATATTACATAGAACAGAATACAAGAGTTTGGTCACATTCAAGTTATAATTAATAACTTTTATCGACACAGCGTGGTTCAGCAGCAAATTACCTCTGACTCTCCGGTCCTGTAAACAGCCGGAGCATGAACCCACCCCGACACAACTGAAATTGCCTTAAATCCCAGTATTTCAAAAAAGCAAACACATATATGTATGTTTCTTCTTTTTCTTCTTCTTCTTGACAATTATTAGCGAATGGCAAACAACGAATTGGTGCATTACAGCCACTGACTGGTATGGAGTGTGGTACAAATTATTAGTCTTTATGTTAGGCTATTTATACATAAATAAATAATTAAACTAAATAAACTCATATCCTCTTAATCACATTGTTTAGTATAAGATACTGAAAAACAATTCATGTTATTAATTAATTAATTATTATTAAATCACAGTGAACTTTTATCATTGTGAGGTTTAGAACCAGCTGCCTTCTTTCTTCCTCTTCTTGCTTCTGACAGTGTAACATACCGTGCTCTACTGTTTTTTCTTGCCCGCGGAAGTCATGTTTGCCTATTTTGAATTATGTGCTGTTTAGTCCGAGTCTTTATATGATTGTTTGGTCTCTCCTGTTCCATCCTGCACATCTCATTTCTCCAACTATTCTCTGCACTCTGTAAAAACACGGTCCTTTCCTCTCTTCCTCCAATTACTTTTGCCACCATTCCTTGATTCTGTTTAGTTAGCCTACTTGATTTCTTGAGGTGTCACCTCTGACCAGTGCTGATTTATATTTGCATAGCTTGCAGCATGTTGAGTTAGATGTGAAAGCCTCCCCGAGACCTAGGGGAAGGGGGGTCATGAGGGCAACACTGAAACAAAATCCATGTAATTTCCCGGTAGTTCCTGACAGTTTTTGGTGCTGGCCAAAAATTCGCGTGAGCAGCCGTTAATCTTCACGTCCGCAATTTAACGTGCCAATAACTGCTGAAAATCCCACTTTTCATGCAGTTTATAAGTTATTTCTGTAGGTGTTCGTGATTACAATCATTTACATAACTTTCAATGTGTATGGGAAATATGGCAGTAGAGGTGCTGTGAAGAATTTGTAAAATTAAAACTTTGTGGCTGTGCACCTAAATGCAAGATTTAGATGCATCAGTGCAACTAATGCAAAAGTTATGCATATATACATACATTATAAAGGTAGATGAAGAAACCATTTACATTTACGGGTAATATACTGGCAAGTATTTTCGGCAGCTCATTTTGGAATGTCTCTCAGTTGTCAGAACTCCAAAAAGTGTTTCTCTGTGATGCTGTTGTTAATACCATTTTTAAACAACTACCAAAGAAAATGATGACATAAAGAAAAAAAATTCAGTAAAGACATCAGCTCCTATGGTTCCTGTCAGGGCTCATTTATTCACCTCTCATGCTCATGTTAGTCCTTGCAGCCTTCCCGCCATGTGTATTCTCATCTACATTCACATCCCTTTTCTGCCTATGGCTCTGCATCCAAAGGTCTTCCCAGTGGGGTTTGCTGTCTGCGTTTCACTACACCCCTCATTGATTTGTCTTCGTCTGTGAGCTGAGGAGACCTCCACCTGGGTCAGCCCAATCTGAATCCCTCTTTAGGCTGCAGGTCTCAAAAAGTTCAGATGGCCCCTCTGATTATTTTCGGAGCCTGAGGAAATAAAAACAGTGTGATAAAATGAAATTACTATTTTACTTTATGCCGAGAAGCTGTCAATAACTTCCTCAGTGCACTTGGCCTTTTGGCAACACCTTCACAAGCTCACCAGGAAGTAAGTTAGGGAAAATAGCAACATCGAATCCCTGTAGTCAAGACACCCCACATGGCACTGTTACTAATCAGACAAAGTATACATAAAATACAGCACACTGTTCATTATGTTGGACCAGTATTTAATTAAATGATTTATACCTGACTGAATTAAAGCAAATAATAATAACAATCCTGCCCACATTTTTCAGAGGTAGGAGGAAAGCAAATGAACAATGAGACACACACACACAACACACACACACACACACAGGTGACAGATGCCCAAGGGGTCTTAGTCATCATTGCGGCATTCCTGCATATCATTTCACCAGTCTTTTGATGGATGTGTTCTCCACCTCTTTATGCCTTTGAGTGTGACAGTGTGTGCTAAGTGAGTGGAATACAACGGTTTGCTCCTTAATTTTCACTATGTGAAAGTCTCTCCAATAAGACCTTGGAGTTCTTGCTCTCTAAGGAGCATCACAGCTGCGGTGGACAGCTCCTACTGTGCTGCAGCACCAGTGGAGATAATCTCCCTGTCAGCAGCCTGTCTCTCTCCCAGATGTCAACTGAAGCCAACTGTTGTGTACCTCCAGTTTGCACTCCCGCAGTGCTGTCAGCAAATGCTCATCTCACCATTTTCTGTGCTAGTGATTTTAGCATACTATCACATTCCAAGCTTACTGCATACATTTCTGCACCTCAGTGTTGGAATGCAGGAAGGTGTGAATGTGTTTTATGACCTCTTAGTGCTGTGTGTTGCAATGTAATATGAATAAATCACCACACTAATCAGAAAAAAAATCAGAATAATTAAAGTGAATAGTGTCTATGAGAAGGAATGAGCATTCACTTCAGTCATACATTAGCCATGCTGTGTAGCACCCATGTGGGAATGTGGGTTAATAAGTAAGTAAACGTTTTTTGAAAAACGCTTTTCACAGACATAACTCACAAAGAGCTTTACAAAAACATTAACATACAAGAAAGAAATCACAGAAGATGAAGGGACCAACCAAGCCACATGAAGAAAAGTGAAAACTAAAATCAGAGTACATAGTAAAATACATAATAAATATATAGTATGTAGAAAAATAAACAATAAATACATAGTACACAATAAAAATACACCATAAATACTAGGGCTGCCTCCAACTAAGGATTTTCCTAGTCGACTAGTAGTCATTATTTCAAGCCATTATCACACACTGACTGAGGACAACCATTAGTCAACTAGTTGTCGCACACTTTTATATTTGTTTAATTATTTAAAAATATATATTTGAGGCATCAGAAAATGGTTTTGAGTTCCATGACTGAGAATGAATGTTATAAGTAACATTGTTAATTCTATGTTACGTTACAGAGAAATACAAAACCGTTATGATGAGCCTTCCCCTCAAGTATTTCTGACTTCTGATTTCTAATTCTGATTCTCTAAAATATTCCTTTACACAAGGGGCATGAAGCAGTTATGATTCTGAACGTGTCGGAACAACCAGCAAGGAAATTTCAGGGCTCTACAGTGCGACCATTTTGCTCGCATATGCCCCTAAAAATCGATTTGTGCGATCCATCAAGTAGTCTAGATGTGGAGATATTTCACAGGATAACTAAAAACTTTGACCTGCTGGTGGCACCACAGGAAAAGTAAGGGTATCAAATGCCAATCCATTAAATAGTTGTCGGTATACTTTACTAAATGCAATCATTAAAATTTCTGTACAAAATATAACGACAATCCAGCTGATTGTTGCTCAGATATTTCTGGCTGGACAAAAGTGGCGGACTGATCGAAACAGACAGAAATCTCCATCTCTGGAGTCATACTGGCAAAAAGTGGGTACCTTGTTTGCTGTGCATTGAATGCCCTTAAATGTTACTTCCTGCTTACATGTTTTTTGTTTTTCATATCAGATTAGCTCTTTAGTTTTCATGATCTATAGATGTCTTTGATGGCTTAATGGGCTATAGCTTAAAGGTAATGCTGTTAACTGTTTGTTAACATGCAGCATGTTTTTCTCTGTAAAAGCTTAATCTTTGTTGAGAGATGCCAGCAGCAGTTGACTTACATCATGGCACACAACACACCCATTACAGAGAGGAAGCTAATTGGATTCACAAATCAGCTGACAGCTCTAGGTTTATAGTGGCACTGGGCTTTATGGGTAATATTAAAGGGACTGTTGGGCAGTTTGTCAGACGTAGTTTGTAGCTAGTGTGGAACTGGCACAGGAGAGAGCACCAGGGGAGCATCAGCATTCATTTCTTACCTTTTGTTGAGCTTTTACTGAGCAAATGCCACTGGTGAGCGGCGAGTCACTATGATACCACTCAGCCCCAAATAACTAAGCCCTAAATCATTGACTGGAATGAGGCATGCATTTGAAGGCAATTAAACCTCTGACTTATTGTCTAAAATGAAGACCAGGCTAAGTCATTTTTGATGGGCTTTACAAAATCC